AATTTGTATGTGAGATAAAATAAAATAAAACAACAAAAATTAATTATTTTCGTTATTTATTAAATGAATATATAATTTCTCTTACATTTTAATAACTACTATAATTTCCTTGAAAACATTCCTCACCACCGATTTCAGACTCCGGCGAATGGATTCCCACAGTCGATGACGCCGTAGATAAAAATGCCACATCATTTATGAACAAAACTCAAACTTACAAAAAACCATATTGAAAAGCATATCTAATGAAACTTAAACAACGAATATTAACTTAATTAAGGTTATTTTTAAATTGATAAATCGTTTAATACAAATATAAATACTATAAATATAGAATTATATCAAGTTTTGATCTACGATATAAAAACTATTTACAGCAAAAAAAACACACCTACTTTTACACACTAAAAACTATATTATAGCCTAACTATTCCTATAAACCTTACTTCGCATATAAATAACATTTAACACATTCCTAATATTTTTCAAAAAAAATTGTATGTGAAATAAAATAAAAAAATAACAAAATTTAAGTAAGTTATTTATTAAATGAATATGTAATTTCTCTTACATTTTAATAACTACTATAATTTCATTGAAAACATTTCTCACCACCGACTCCAGACTTTGGCGAATGAATTCCCACAGTCGATGACTCCGTAGATAAAAATGTCACATCATTTATGAACAAAACCCAAACTTACAAAAAACCATATATAAAAACCTATCTAATGAAACTTAAACAACGAATATTAACTTAATTAAAGTTATTTTCATATTGATAAATCGTTTAATACAAATATAAATACTATAAATATAGAATTATATCAAGTTTTGATATACGATATAAAAACATGAAATTTTCCATTTCATTATTAATTGGTGTCATTAGAAGAATCCAATAAACCAACAATCGAAAAAAATACACGCAAACATAATGATCCCGGCTCCGCGCTTGCGCGGAGAATGTGCAACTAGTGATCTTAACGGTTCAGATGATTTGGTATTTTAATCTAAGGGGTATGTTTTCTCTAGATGATGTCATCTTTTAATAGAAGCTTTGTGTCGTTATAGGTAGCGAAGCTTTGTGTCGGTGTATAGGTAGCGAAGCATTGTGTTCGTTCGTAAATGGAGTTGTGACTCCTGATTCGCATCTCGTCCTCAGTTTATATTTTGATAATCAATTTGCTCCTTTTATTCAAAAAATTGGAATTGTGACTGATTAATGTTCCATTGTTTTATTGACACGAAGAAGCCCGTGTACAATCGCTTATGGTGAAGAGTAGAGATGGTAATTGGGCTTTCCCGTCCCATTCCGTCCCGTACCGCAGCGGGCTCATCGTCGAGCAGGTCACGGCGGGCCTGTCCCGCGCGGGCTGCGGTCTTCAGAATGGCTACCCAATCCCGTACCGCATAATTTATAAGCCTTCGCGGGCCGTCCCGCGGGACGTCTCCTTCAGCTTCCTTCATGAATGTTAAAGTATAACAGTTGTGTAAAAAAGTTGAAGAGAGTTGAACAACATCGATCGCAACAACATCCAATGTGATCACTCGCTGGTTTAATGGTCTTGAAGTAAGTGAGAGCCATTTGGACAGTAAAATTTAACTCTTTCAAGAATGTTCCTTCTTTGATTTTTGTAAAGCAACGTCTCTTCATAGCAACAATAACTTAATACTAATGGTTTCTTCTTCTCTTTCAACCAAGCTATTGAACTTAGTGTAAAGACAAGATTCTGTAGTAACCCAAACTCTCATTTTGAGCCGTTTAAAGAACAAATAGTAGCTATTCAACAAGCAGTAACTCTTTAACGACATCATTGTAATAAAATTTATTTTTTTAAAAAACACCACTTGGCAATACTGAAAACAAAACTCATCAACTTAAACAAGAAAATTCCACATAATAATAAGGAAATTTATAGTACTGAAAACAAAACCAAACAGAAATGGGGACTTATGGTTGCGAGTCTTCAAAATCCCGCAGGTTAACCTGTCCCGCATTCGACCCGTCCCGTTTTGAGCCCATCCCGCATTCGGCCCGTCCCATTTTGAGCCTGTCCCGCGAGACCCGCAATTTTTGCGGGCTTATCAAATGAAGGCCCAATCCCGCCCCGCAGCAAGCCTTTATGGGCTAGGCCCGCGGTACAGGTCTTTGATTGCCATCCCTAGTGAAGAGCTTTAAGTTTCTGGAAAAATTGCTACTAAACAAAATTGTAAAGAAAGAAAGGACGTCAACAGAATTCGGAAAAACGAAACGATCATTTAATCAAGAAAAAAAAATCACACTGATGTTTATCCGTTCTTTCGGAGAAACATCACATACCATTTAAAAGGAAAAGAATTAGAAAGTAATCAACTGGAGTACATCTTAGAAACAGTACCAATTTCAGAAAAGAAAATAAAAAGTGAAAAGAGAAATTGTTGAGCAAGAGAGCGTAATAAAACAACAACCACAAAATTCATTTCTTTCCCTCAAAAAAAAAATAAAAATGAAGCATGTGGCGAAATAGGTGAAAAACAAAATTGCAGAGACAATTTTATGCATATGAAAAGGAGGAAGATTAACAAAATTCCAAGAAAATCAAACAGACTACAGTGACCAGATATTAAAAAAACTAACCTTTTTGAATTGGGGATAGAGTGAAATCATATTCATACTATTACAGTTATCATGAAATCCATTCTAAAAATCTGAGGCGAAAATGTGAACTGAGAGAAGAAAGGGTAGAGGAATAATAAAACATGAAACGTGATATATATAGATCAATCATCTATAGACGCCATTTTAAGGGTTATCATGTAAGGGTTGTGTTGTTTGGAAGGAAATGATTCGGGAAAACTGCTAAACAAGACAGTTTTTAGATGACGTGAGCACCTCAAACGTGCGTGCCATCTCACCCCTCTCCTTTTGTTCATATTCTTTGTTAAAGTTTCGAACTTTCGGTGACCCAACTGAATTGGAATGTGGCAGGGATAAGTCGGCTTCTTCACATTCTAAGACTCCTGGAGAAACCATTTCTGCAAGCTCTGTTAACATCAAAGGTGCCACAGCCTTTGAAGTTTCAGGTTTGTTGATTTGATTGAATCGTATTAATACAGTTTTCAATAGTTTCACAGCATTTATAATCTGAAAGTTGGTTTCTTTGTTGGAACAAGATCCATCCATCCTCAAGTTATTTAGCGTCTTAGTACATAGGGCGTGGTTTATGTTCATAGGCTTTGCTATTACTGTTTTGTCTCAGGGACTCCTGTGGACTGTATCTCGTTAGGATTATCTGGAGCGCTTTTCGCTTGGTCAAAACCAATACTGGTTTGCATTTTTTTTTATCATCATCTCATCATATATGTTTATTTGGTATCTTGTAATTTCTGCATCTTTTGTTTCTTTCTCATTTTTCTTCAGGTAATTAGTGGAATCAACCAGGGATCAAGCTGTGGTCATCAAATGTAGGTGGCTTTCGTCTTTTTGTATAACTGGTTATTCTTTGTCTCCCTATCTTCTATGCGTTTCCTGATGCGAGAATCCTCCAGGTTCTATTCCGGTGCAGTAGCTGGAGCCAGAGAAGCCTTGATTTCTGGAGTACCCTCCTTGTCAATATCATTGAACTGGTGAGAGTCTATCTATCATGGGGAATGCGTTAGTGTTACTATATATCACAGAACATGATGTATATATATTTTTTTTTTTATCTGCGATAGGAAGAAAGATGAAAGCCAAGAAAGTGTCTTTAAGGATGCTGTTGGTGTTTCTTTACCTTTGAATTGATAAACACAACAATCAGAGACATTGAGAAAGGAGTTTTCCCTAAACATTGCTCTCTAAACATAGAAATTCCAGCATCACCCTCATCAAACAAGGTCTGTTTGCTCTCTCAACATAGAAATTCCAACATCACCGTCTGGATTGGTTTGTATTCTGTATGCTAATAAAGAACATAATCTATGCTTGCATTGATTACTATGTTCTTTTGATGTTGTGAAGTTAGAGCCTCACTGGCAAATGGTTTAGAGAAGTTGACGTTCCATGTACATATGAATAGGGTTTTAAGGTAACAAAACCAAGCGTGTGGAGTCAGATAAAAAGTTCATTAGTTTGAAAAGATTGTCAAATATCCAAGGATGTGTCTTTTCATTCTAAAAATTACATATATATGTTTTTTAAACAAATTCATTTATCTTTTTCTATATATCTACATTTTAAATAATCTTTGAAGTTATATAAATATGGTAGTTACATTTGCTGAGTAATTTAATTACTTTAACAATATTATATATGTACAAAATTAAATATACTAATACTTGTATCTTTTCAATTTCAAAATGTTATTTTGTGGTTGGTTAAATCAAAATTTTCACTCAATCACAAAACTACTAAATGCAAAGTAAATGCATTATCAATGAAGAAATATAACTCCATGCAAGATATTTTGTAATATATTTCCTCAAAAATAATTCTAAAAGTTTTTTCAAAAAAAAAAAAAGAAGTTTATTTGTGTTTATAAAATGAGTTTCCGTACGATATCGCACCGGTTCCTTACCTAGTTTATTATAGGGGAAATTCCATATAAATATTCCAACTAAATCCTATTAAACTTTTTGATACCCAAACTTTTCTACTACTCATTTTAATACCTCAACTAATTATTTTGTTCATTTTAATAAACAAAATTTTGTAACTGTGCCGATTTTAATACTCAAACTTTTTTATTTATTTTAATACTAACAATACTAATAAGTTTCAAACAAAATTTTTTAAATCTCCAAAATCTAAGAAAAATATTTATATTCTAAGTTTACCAGAAGATTTAAGAAAGAAGGTAAATAAACTTTGGAGAAAATTTAATGTTAAAAAAAAATTTGAAGGAAAAAATAATAATTTACTTTTTATTTCAAAAAAAACAAACTAAATTCAATATATAAAACTTAAAAAAACTTATTACAAAACTTAAGATTATTAAAAATTTATTTAATTTCATTTGTCAAAAATATAATAAAAATAATTTTTTTGTAAAATTTAAAGATTTTTAAAATTTCATTGCAAACTTATTAGTATTGTTAATTAAAATAAACAACCTTTGGGTATTAAAATAGGCACATTTATAAAAGTTTGTGCATTAAAATGGGAAAATAATTAGTTGTGGTATTAAAATGGCAACGAAAAAATTTGGATATTAAAAATCTTTAAAAAATTTAGTTAGAGTATTTTATGGAATTTTCCGTTTATTATATAATTGTTTAAATGAAATTATTTACCTAAATGTCTATTGGTTGTTTATAAAAGTAAGAAAGATATTTAATATGAAAACTGTATTAAGAATGTAAAATGACATTTAGTTGAAAACAAAATTAAAAACCTAAAATGACATTCTTTATGAAACAGATGAGTGATATGTGTTACATAGTTAACTATAACAATACTTTTTGTTGTCGGAAAAGTGAACTAAACCAAACAAACATGATCGAGTAACAAGGCGGGTTTGGAAATGTGCTACACATTTGTGTGTGACCAGGTAACATGAATATCTCATTCCAAAATTAGTCAGTTAGATTTCGGTTTGAGAGATATCCCGACTTAATAAAAAAAAGTGAGTACAAATTATAATCCAATAAACAAGAATTAAAGACTGATCCCGCACATTACTCTTATTAAATATTTGTGTAATATGATATTTCTAAATATAATATTTATAATTTATATTTACTAATTTTATTTATTTTTTGATCTCTCAACTTACAGATTTAAAATACAATTAAATTACTTAATATAACCTATAAATTATTATGTTTAAAGCAATATCATATTAAATAATGATTTAATACAAACAAATATTAAAAATATATATAACTATTTATACAAAATATATACTTATTTATAAACAAGTGAAAAATACATATACATATCAAACTCTAGTAGCTTTAAATACTAAGTTGTCCATGTCTAGCGGTTACCGTGGAAGTCAAGTTTGGTTTCAGTTGAGTAAAACCTTTTCCTATCATTGGTTTCAAATTTTCAATGATCTTGCAAATGTTTAGGAAAAAAATTAAATCAAATGAATTCCCTTGATAAATTTATAGTTTGGTTCAGGATTAATTTGAAGTGTGGAACTAAGAAAATACATCTTCAAAATGGTATGTAATCTGGATCTCGACCATCCCAACAAGGATACACTTAGTCTTCGGTTTCTAAGGTTTCTAGAGAAGCTGAGATTCTTCATTCGGAAGCCACACAGAAACTCCAGCAGATTCTAGCTCAAAACTTATGCAAAAGGAGACTGCTCAAAATTAAGAATTTGTGTGGCACAAAAATATGGAAAATAATACATTTGATGCAAAACCAACCTCATGCAAGCTTAGTTTATCAAGAAACATAAAATAAGTTTCTTGAGATCTTAGCGATACTCAGAAACAAAACCCACCTCTTAATTTGCATTTATATATTCCAAATTTCTTGTACCACTTTCAAGGAATACAACTAGATTCTGTCTGCATATAGCATCTCATATAACAGAATACCTCAAGATTTTGAGTTATGTTGACAGGTAAGTGAACAACTTCGTAGGAAAATATTAAAGTCTCTTCACATGCTGAGAGAGTACGCATATCTTCCAAACTTACCTGGTTTAGAAGAGCTTGAAATCTCATGACTGTCTTCAAAAGTTTCTGGAACCGTTACAGTGGGTAAACTAAAGAGAGGTTTAGGTGGAACCTGGAGAGCCTCTAGATCCCCCTCTAACATCTCAATGACTTTGATCATTGGTGGTCGGTCAGATGGATTAGTCTGAATACACCATAAACCAACCAACACCATTTTCTTCGCAATTCTCTCTTCTTCTTTGGTTAGTTGATCTCCAAAAATCCTCATGATTTCCCCTCTCCCAAAATCCTTATAAATCCACTCTGGAAAGTACATTGAACTATTGTTGGATCCAAAATTTTCTATATTCTTTGCACCAATCATCTCAAGGACCACCATACCATAACTATACACATCTGACTTATGCGAAACTCCTCCAAAGTTATTCGAAAACACTTCAGGGGCAATGTAACCTACCGTCCCTCTGGCATCTAACATGGACATGACGCTCTCTTTATTTTTGCAAAGCTTAGCAAGACCAAAATCGGCAATCTTGGGACAAAGATCTTTGTCCATGAGTATGTTTTGCGGCTTTATATCGAAATGCACAATCCTGGATACACAACGGTTGTGTAAATACTCTAGGCCGCGAGAGACACCTACCATGATGTCATATAGCCTTTCCCATTCTATCTTAGTTGGCATATTCTCGGAGATGAACTTGTCAAGGGATCCATTGGGCATGAACTCATATACTATAGCTCTCTTGTTCCCTTCATAACAGAAGCCAAGAAGAGTGACAATATTCACGTGAGATGTTCTACTCATGCTAGCTACTTCGTTGATGAACTCTTCTCCCGTTCCCTTTCCTTCCTTTAAGATCTTCACTGCAACATCTACGCCTCCAACTGATAACTTTCCTTTGTATACAGTCCCAAATCCTCCTTTACCGAGAACATGTGCAAATGAGTTTGTCATCTTCTTCACTTTTGCGTAACTGTATCGTTTCAACATTACTACTGCTTCAATGCTCTCGGCATTCCAATCATTCTTTCTCTGATTTTTTCCTCTTACTTTTATCATGATCAAAATAATGATTACCACAATTAAAACTGCTGAGACTCCTGCAATAAGATAAGAAGAATCAAAATTTAAGTTTTATGTAGAGAAGAGTATTGTCACATTTAGTAATGACAAAAAAAAAATTCAAGAATAAAAAGACAAAACAAGTTTCTTTTTGGATCCTTGAGACTCTGAGGTAGGTTTAAGAGTTCCATGTAGATCGGTTCCACTTGACTACTTTTTTAAAAGCAGCCTTTATGCCATAGAATTAGATGAAACTAAAGCAGCCTTTTTACCTAATCCTAGCTTTAACTTCACATCTTGGTAGTCTTCTACAACAAAGAAGAAGGAATTGGAATTATTGTCATCGGCATATGTTTCATTCATGGTTTATGGTTCATTATGGTCATACCTTTGTAATTTTATCCCCCAACGCAGCGAAACTTGTGTTTGATCATCGTACATTCTCCTCCTCGTCTACGGCAGCTACGGCAGGCTCGAGTGACGTTTATATGAAGAGAGAAAGTAGCATTAAGAATAGAGTGGTTCTTGTTTCTTGAAAAATCCCAGATCTCTGGAGTTTTGATAGCTGAACACTCTGAATTATCTTGAAAATCGGAGTAATACACGTTGCTACCTCCTCCTTTGCAATTCGCATAGGTGAAACCATTCTTCCTCGTACTGTTGTTGCATTTGTACAAAGTGGTCAATTCGAGCCATGGAGAATCTGGAAGAGAGAAGTTTGACAAGTCACTGCAGGATCCTGTTGCCAAGCTTTGGTTAAGCCTTGGGTCAGTGATGGTTATGGTGTTGGCTTGAGAGACGCTATTCACTTTGTACCATTTCCCGTTTTTCTCAAGCTGTATCTCTGAAATCTGGTGATCACTGCACTTCAGCTTGAATAGCCCGCATCGAGACGGCATGGTTGTGTTGAAGAAAGGGAAGTTGAAGTCGAGGCTTCCACAGGAGAATGATCTGGCACAATATCTCAGGTCCGTGCTCCTGGCTTCTGCCATGAGAAAGAAGAGGAAGAAGAAGAAGACTAACACAGAGATAATCTTCATTGATGTCGTGATGACAGACTTGTGATTCTTGATATCTAGATCTACAAAATATCAAGACTTTAGTTTCATTTTTTGAAGAAACTATATTATATAATTCTCCTCCTACCGTTTTAATTTGTTGTATGGTATTTTGAATGGTATTACGACAGGAGAGTTGACTTGTGTGGAAATTCAGACAGAGCTATAGAGGAAGAAGAGCATGGATTATGAGGTTGCAAGAGAGAAGATGAAGTTATGTGGGGGCAGCTTTGATGCAATATAGTCTTTGAACCGGAGACTCTGGTGGAATGGTAAACTTTCAATTGTATAGAAATTTGTGTGTTTACCTTTTGGTCGAAGTTGCATGTATAATAAGATTTGACCACACACCACTTATCTTGTTGTCTTATCATCCTCCGCTCGAGTCTTCCATTATTAAAGCGTTGAACGCGAGACCTTTGCTGCTCTAAGTGTCTTCGGATTCTTTTTTCGTAATCTGGTTTTAGAAATATCATAATGCATTAAAAACCATGTTAAGTGATAGATTAGTTAAATTATTTATGAAATAAATGCACTAAAAACCATGTTACGTGATCAGATTAGTTAGTTATTTATTAAAGAAACTTAATAATGATGTCTTGCTAGACATAAAAAAAAAAGTAATTCTTAGATTCATCCTCTAGAGGTTCATCAACCAATAGAATTATGCTATTTTATATTTAGAATCTTTTAAAAAAGGAAACAAAATATTGTCGAGTTATATTATGTTTTTAAAATTTAAAGATTAAAATAAACAAAAATATTAAACCCTAAATTCTAAACCTTTAAACCCTTCTTTAAACCCTAAACCTTTGGATAAATCTTTGATTTTTTAAAAAATATTTTAATATTGTCAGCAAAATATGAAACCCTAAATCCTAAATCGTAAATCCTAAATCCTAAATCCTAAACCCTTGGGTAAACTCTAAATCTCTGGATTAATCATGGTTGAAGATTTATGATTAATCCAATGGTTGAAGATTTATCCAAGGGTCTGGGGTTTAGTGTTTTGCTGACATTATTAAAAATATTTTTTTTTAAATTTTTTTTGCGACTACTATTATTTTTTATTTAATTTTAGCTTTTAATTTTAAAAACATAATATAACTTGATTATATTTGGTTTCATTTTTAAAAGATACTAAATATAAAATAATGAAATCTTATTGGTTGGTGAACTTAGAGGTTCACTCTATGAAGTGAACCCAAGAATTTCTCATAAAAAAAGATAAGAGTTTTATCATGATATTATTAAGAGAACAAAACTTTGATTCACTGGTTAATCTTCAAATTCACCTCATCTCTTGTCACCAATTAAAATGACATGTCATACTAAATTTAAAAAATCTTAAAATCTTTTTTAAAAAATAAACTATTAAATTAAAAAACAACGTCGACATTAACACCATCAGCTAAATTCTAAATTCTAAATCCTAGATTATACACTATAAACCTAAAAGATATCTAAACCCTAAATTTAAGTCTAAATCCTAACGTCAGGTTTAGGGTCTAGGGTTTAGATTTAGGTTTAAGGTCTAGGGTTTAGGATTTAGTTGACGGTGTTTCTATCAATGTCGTTTCTTTACTTTTTGGGTTTATGGTTTAGGATTTAAATTTAGGGTTTAGATTTATTTTTAGGGTCTAGGGTTTATGATTTAGGGTTTAGGGTTTAGTTGACATCATTATTGTCAAAGTAGTTCTTTTAAGGTTTGGGTTTAGGATACATGATTTGGATTTAGGGTTTACATTTAAGTTTAGGGTGTAGGATTTAGTGTTTAGCTGATTGTATTATTATCGATATCGTTCCTATAAGATTTGGGGTTAAGGTTTAGTATTTGGGTTTAGGGCTTAGATTTAGTTTTAGGACTAGGGTTTATGATTTAAGGTTTATGGTTCAGTTGATGACATCAGTGTCGAAGTAATTCTTTCAGGATTTGAGTTTAGGATATAGAATTTGAATTTAGGATTTTGATTTAGACTTAGGATCTATGGTTTATAATTTAGCTAATGACAATAACGTAGTTATAATAACTCTGTTATTTTCAACTATTTTTATCTTTTTAATTTTTAATATATATATTATTTTTTAATTAGTATGACATGTGATTGGTGATAAAAACTGAGATAAATTTGAAAGTTCACTTTAGGAGGTGAACCAAAATATTAGAAATGGCGAGCAACAAACAGAAAAGAGACTCTAATCTATTAAAATAAAATCTTATTTTTATTTACGTACTAATATTATCATTTAAATTTTGGACTTATTCATATCTTACCAGAATATATATATCAATGCAATTAAAATAAGAGATCTTTCCGGAAATCTCTTTAACTTATTTTTAATATTATAAATGATCACTCCTATTTTTATGATTAATACATTAATTAGTTTTATATTGATTACTATACATTCCTAAAGCTTTCAACATTTATTTGCATTTAAAACTATCCACATATCATTGTATTTAATTATTTTTTATTTATTCTAGCATTTTAAACCTTCAAAACCTACTAGAATTTTTATATTCAATTGTGGCGGGTCATAAATATACGGTAACATTTCGTTGATTTTGGATGTTAATATAGATTTGTTATTGGTAAATTATAGTTATGCAACTATATATTTTTTACAATATAAATTTGAGCAACTTTTATAATATAATTAACCCTTAGTATTTTCATAGTTATAGTGCTATACAAATATATAATTGCTTTTTTTTAAGCAACAAAAGGCAAAGAGATACTTAGCTACATCATGATCCGAGAGCCACTTCGAAAAGACTGAATCAACATAAACTATAACAGAAGGTAGATCACGAGCATCATGTGCCAGTTTGTCATCCATAATGTTTTTCGCCCTTGAGATATGTTGAATGGTAAAAGTCTAAAAATATTCTTTAAAACGCTAATATTCCTCCACATGTGTAGTGAACATCGACGATTCTGTGGGTGTAAACACCATTTTTGCCAGTTGAGAACAGTCAGTTTCATACATTACTTCTGAAATATTGAGGGTCTTCTTGCACTTCATTACCCAGATCAACGCTTCACATTCTGCATGTAAAGATAATAGACTCATGTATATTCATGACACTTATCATAATATCAGTAGTTTCTTCTTTCTTGTAAAACCATCCTTGACCCGTAAATGAATCATGTTCCTTCCATGCTCTATCAATATAACACCAATGACCACAATGAGGTACTGGATTCTTAGGAAAAGTATAAGAATCACTTATCGCCGAATCCTTTATTTGGGCTTCGGCTCATAAATTACCTTCTATTTCCGCAACATGAAGAATATCCAATGGATTTCCTGTTTTATTATTATAAATCTTATTGTTTCGAGTTTTCCAAATATATCAAAAATCAACAGAAAATATGGTAGATCTGGTTCCTTAGGTAATCGGCAGAATAGATAATTCATATTGGTGTAAATGGATTGAGTAGGGAAAATCCCTATCCATATTGCTGTAAATGTATTGAGTAGGGAAAATCCCTGGAGGTGAAAGAATGGACAAAAGTGCCCACGTTTGGAATGCTAATTAAAGGGCATTCAAAAAGTATATGATTTGTAGAATTCTCTTCGACTTCACACAATTGACATCGCACATCGCATTTAATACCACGAGAATGAAGATTCTTCATAACTGGTAAAGAATCTGAAATTATCTGCCAAATAAAATGTTTTAATTTTGGGGAACATCTAAACTTCCAAGAATGAGCTAACAAAACCTTTGTGTCTGGTCCCATCTCTCTATGCTGTAAGCCCCCATCCGAGAAGAGTATCTCTATCCGATATCCCGACTTAACCGTATATCTACATGATCAATAAAACACCACCCATATGAATCGGCCTTTGGGATACGACGAATAGCCAAACCTCGTATAACATCTACGTCATCCTTGTGAACATAGGCATTGAATAAATTCACATTCCAGGATAAATTCACTGGATTAATTAAATTGTTCACCTTAAGCAATTGATTTAAAAAATTGACTCAAAGATTTTGGAAGTGCTGACCTCGTGCGAAGAACGGGGATCTAGAGATCATCCTAGACTGAAATGGTTGAACCTGTTCCCACTCTTTTGATTAGCCATCTTTTAACAAGAGATCTATCTGAGGTAATACTTCTCCACCCATAGGAGGGAGAGTATGATTTTATTGGATCCATTGGATCTGATTTCCTATAGTACCTCCCCTTAAAAACCCTTGCAAATAGGGAATCGAGTTTATCTATTAATCTCCATAATTGTTTCCCCAAAAGGGCTATATTAAAATTATGAATGTCTCGAAAACCAATACCGCCTTCGTCTTGTCTTTTAAACAATTTTCCTATGAAAACCAATACATACCTTTAGTATTTCCACAACCCCACCCCCACCAAAAATGAAAAAAACTACACTTGTCACTTTCTTGGTAACCGTTTTAGGTAAACCAAAATAAAACATAACATGAGTTGGCATATAAGATGCTACCGATTTAATTAGGGCTTCCTTTCCCTCTCTTGTAATAAACCGAATCGTCCAATTATTAAATTTATTATTAACCTTCTCATTAAAAACCAAAGATATGTGTGTTTTGATCCGCCTAGACTTTTTGGAATACCTAAATAGGTTCCCATGCCCCCCAAGTGTATTTATTCCTAATCTCTCCTGTACCTCCAACCTTACCGAATCTGGTACCTTGTGTCCAAACTGGAGGGAAGATCTCAGAAAATTAATTTGTTGCCCCAATCCCCTCTCATAGTCTTTCAGACCTGAAAAATAACGTCACATTCTTGCTTATTCGCTTTACAGAAAAATAAGCTATCACCAGCAAATAACAGATGTGAAACCGTCAGACTAGCCCGTGCTACTTTTAATCCCGTTAATAACTTCTCTTATACTTTTTTCCTGAAATACAATATCAGTGCGTCTGTACAAAAAAATGA